TCCTCTCTCTGGTGAGGTGAGTGTCTAACTGCTGAGCAATGGGACTCCACAAGGATTATTATCTCCCCAACTGTAGCACTGGCCAGTGTGTGGAGCTCTGATCCCATGAGGGTCTCCATGCTCCCCCCCCCCCCCCCCCCTCAGGTGGGTTCAGTCCAGTCTCCTGGTTTGATGTTTGTCTCTTTTTCTCCCGATTGAAACTTGTCCCACTCAGCGCCTCGTCACTGCTCTATTCTAATGGCTTATTGGAACTTTGGCTGTCAAACAAACTACTTAATTCCTGTGTAATTCCTTATTCCCGGGAATAAGGTGATGTCGCAGCCCAATCCCAATCCCAATCCCAATCCCAATCCCAATCCCAATCCCAATCCGAACAGTCAAACATTCATTCACCAACTTGGAGAAGTTGCCCTTTTGCTGCCCCTTTAAGATGGACTCCTCGTGTGGGAGAAGATTTTTTATCCGCGGACATTATTTTCTGTAGTGTTAAAAGCAAAAAATACTCGGGAAGGAAAGGAAAATGTGCACAGAGCCATTCATTCATTCATTCGAGGAGGAATTGGGGGGACGGGAAGTTACCTTCTGCTTCTCCTGCGGTTCCTGCGGCTCTTTCAGAAGTCTATCAGTGAAGAGTCTTCAAATCCCCTTTAAAGAAGTGTTCAGTTATATTTACTGTCGGCTCAGTCCCACCGCCTGTCGTGTTCTGTCGTGTCGTGTCGTGTCGTGTCCTGTCGTGTCCTGTCGTGTCGTGTCCTGTCGTGTCGTGTCCTGTCGTGTCGTGTCGTGTCCTGTCGTGTCGTGTCTCCCCACACACTCTGCACAGGGCTGAGGATCGCTGGAGTGTATTTACAATCCGTCCGTCATGTGGTTTCCTGCAGATACACAGAGCGGTCCCGAGGAGCTCTGTGTGTGTGTGTGTGTGTGTGTGTGTGAGTGACGCTGTGTGTGTGTGTGTGTGTGTGTGTGTGTGTGTGTGTGTGAGGCCAGTGATTGGCACTGTACTTTGTACTGGAGTTGGCAGCGGTTATAGGCAATAACAGGACCTGTGCACACACCACACGGCACGAGCACAGACTGCGGAGCAGCGACACACCGACACACCCTGCGATCACTGCCCCCCCCCCCCCCCTCTCCCTCCCCCCCCCTCTCCCCTCCCCCCCTCTCTCCCTCCCCCCCCCCCTCTCTCCCTCCCCCCCCCCTCTCCCTCCCCCCCCTCCCCCCCCCTCCCCCCCTCCTCTAACACCACAGCCCTCAGGACCAGTGGAACCTTTCTCCCAGTTATTCCCATTTTTTCTAATCCAAATTAATTGGAGCCTCATTTTGTTGTTGATGGGATTAGCTGCTGACTCACAGTGGGGTTTGTGATATTTTGTCATAATAATAATCCTTGCATTTGATAAAGCACTTTATCACATCGTTGAAATGTCTCAAAAGAACTTCACAGAATATACTGTAAAGTGAATTGTGAACTGCTCCAGTGTGTGTTGCGTATGTATGTGTAACGTGCTGTATAAATGCGAACCCATCATTATTCATTACACACACCATCAACCCCGCATTTACCCCCAGATCCAATCCCACGTCTCTTCACTGAGAATGTTTGCAACAAGAGATTTGATCCCACAAACAAGTACAAAAAGCTTTAAATAAAGAGCAGGAAGATTTCTTCAGCAAATATTGACTGTTTCTCTATTCTGTTCCTATTATCAGTGTTGCCTTACACTGAGTAAGCGAGTGACACTGCGTAAGCAAGTGAGTGCATGCATGGTATATGAGTGAGTGAGTGGCCGAGTGAGTGAGTGGCCGAGTGAGTGAGTGGCCGAGTGAGTGAGTGGCCGAGTGAGTGAGTGGCCGAGTGAGTGAGTGGCCGAGTGAGTGAGTGGCCGAGTGAGTGAGTGAGTGAGTACTTGAGTGAGTGTTGTTCACAGTCCAGGCTATCGTTCCAGTGCAGTTCTTGGTGCCCGGCTGCATTGTCAGAGGTGCTGTCCTTCACATGAGATGTTAAACCCAGATCCCGTTTGCCTGTTAAGGTGAATGTTACTTTCCTGTGACAGTACAGAGCAGACTTACTTGGTTGATACCAGGAATCAGAGGCTTTACTTATGAGGAAAGACTAAAGAAACACAAACATAAAGCAGGGTTGAAGCAGAAACCATACAGAATGGGAGTCCTCACTTCTCAGGTTGTTTTCAGTTTATCAGATGAGCTCAGTTAGTGCTCACACCTCAGGGTCACAAGGTTATGGGTTACAGCCCCACTCTGACCTCACAGTGTGGGAGCTCCCCACAGCCCGATACCTACCCGTAGGAGTCCTGTGCTGTCAGAGATCCTGTACTGTGAGACAAGACGTCAAACGGGGCTGCCGTCTCCTGTTCAGGTAAAGGGGGTCCTGGCCAACAATCATCCACATTAATCAGTCATTTTCCTACCATGTGACTGTCTACGGGACCTTACTAGCTGAGAACACCTGCTATGTTTGACTGGACTTTGTCAGTGAAGAATTGTGAGATGAGGTAAGGCAGGAATTATACACAAAAACAAATAACATTTGTACAGCACCTTTCACATCAGGATGATGTCCCAAGGTGCTGGACAGTCAGGGATCTGCACCTGAGCTGGTGGTTGGGATCAGGAGGGGTAGAGGGCATGAAGGGTATGGATAGGAGGGTGACTGAAGGCACGGTCAAAGAGGGTCTTGAGATGGGTCTTGAAGAAGGCAAGGGAGCAGGCGAGGCGGAGGGACTGTAGGATGGCGGTCCAGAAGGGCTGAAGGCCCACCCAACCATTGGTGGGGCAGGCAAGGCGGGCGATGTGAACCTGGCCGGAGCTCACTGATTCATCCAGAGCACACACACACAATCCAGAGCATTGAGTTTCATGCCTACCCTCCCTCCCAGACCATGATAATTATTAGGGGAGGACACTTTGCAGGGCTATGGGGAGAGAGTGGGGGAAATTTGGAAGCTCTTTTCAAACACCCAGCACAGACACGATGGGCCGAATGGCCTCTGCATGGACTGTATAATTCTGTGATTCTATGACTCACAGTGTTGGGGACAGAAGCCTTGCAGACCCACTGCTCCCCACCACCACCAGCAGCAGGATAGAAGGAGAGAGGAACGAGCAGGAAACCCGCCGAGGATGCTGAAAAACTTTTGTTTAAACTTTCTGAACCCCACCCACGCTCCTGAGCCACGCGGAATTCAGGTCAGGATGTTGCAGAATCATCCATTATTTTTTTTTAAACATTCCTCTAATATAAACCATCACTTTACATAGCAGCCCATCAGATTTGATACTCACTCATACAGAGCAATACAGACAGGTTGGCCCTAAGTTTGACCCCCAGGCTGTGCCCCATTTCACTCAAAAATTACACAGTCACTACACTTTACAGTATATTCTGTGAAGTGCATTGAGATGTCTCAATGACATGATAAGGAGCTATATCAAAATGCAAGGATCATTATTAAATTGCTCTTCAATATCTATATGCTCCCAATTGGTGACATCATCCATGGACGTATGCAGATGACACCCAACTGTACCTCTCTGCCTCCACCCTTGACTCCAAGATCCTCTGCTGTGCTGACAGTATGTCTGTCAGACATCAAGCCCTGGATGAGAGCTAACTTTCTTCAGTTGAACGTCAACCAGACTGAGGCTCCTGATTGTCTCCCATCAGCACGTCCTCACCTCAGGCGCTGACAGCATCACCATCCATGGCTGCTCACTCCACCTTGCTAAGCCAGTCCCGAACCTTGGGTCTTGTTTGGCCCTCAACGATCCTTTCTACCCCACATCTGTGTCATGACCTGCTCTGCCCTCCCCCACCTCCGCAACCTCGCCGGGCTCTGCCACTGTCTCACACCGCAGGCCGCCGAAACCCTCATACACGCCTTCATTACATCGAGGCTCAACTATGCAAACTCACCGCTTGTCGGCCTCCCCAATTCCTCCCTCCACAGGCTGCAGAACATCCAGAACTCTGCAGCTCATGTCCTCTCCTGCACGAGGCTCCGTGACCCTATCGCTCTCATCCTCGCCCGACTACACTGGCTTCCCATCACACAGAGGGTAGAGTTCAAGATCCTGGTCCGCACCTACAAAGCCCTCCATGGCCTTACTCCCACCTACCTCTGTGACCTCCTAACCCACCAACCGGCCTGCTCCCTCTACTCAGCAGGCTGCAGCCTGCTTCTTCTTGTTGCTAATCTCAGGCAGAATAGCGTTTGGTTAGAGGAGGGGTAACATCAACCGGGCTTCCTGCTGCGGATCCCAGTTCCGTGACTCCTTCCTCTCACCCCTTGTTGGAAGGTGACAACATGGACATTGAGTGATGGCAGAATGAGGCTCGGAATTGACACCCTGTGTGCGAATGGTCTGACAACACTTACCATTTGCTCTTTCACACACTATCCTGCAATCCCCCCTGCCCCCCACACACCTTCCTTCCTAATTAAATACCTAACAAGAGTTCAAATCAATCCGACTCCTCATGTTAGCACACGGATTGTTGCAGGAGCAGATTTATCCACGAAACACAAGTCACCACACTTTACAGTGAATTACGCCTGTAATTTGAGACACACTACCTCAAATTACCTCCTGACCTAAAAAGTGCTGTGTGAAATGTAAGGATTATGATCTGCTGCACATTATTCCATGTCAGATAATTCCATCACCACAGATTTAACCTGTTGCCATTTGTTGATTTATTCACATCTGCCTGGTGACTCAGGTAAACAGGCAACAACTAGCATTTATATATCACACCCCTCACACGAGGTAGGGGCCCCGAGTGCTTTGCCAGTCTCAATCGCCTACAATTAATTTCGAATCAATCTCAGTAAGCAAACCCTTTTAGAGATTTTCCCTCCAGCTAAAAGAGCGGCATAAATGCAATCGTCACCGTCTTGAGGCCAGTTATTCAGCCTCTCAATAACTCCAGGTGACGGCTTCTGATCTGAACATCAGGAACAAAAACCAAAGGGACAGAGTTTTTGAAAAGCATTTATTTATTGATTTGATATTTTTATGGCAAACTGGAGCATTTGTGCAAATAATCTTTACGGCAGGTCATCCAGCCAGTGGCATTGTTCCTTCCTATCATTGATTTCCAGGTTTCAAAGAAAAAAAATCTGTTCCTTATTGAAAGGCCGATCAGATCATGGTGATTCCATCTCACAGGGCGAAGGGGATGGGAGCGTGCAAGAGAGAGAGAGAGGGAACTTGACAGACCAATTGGACTTTTTTTTTGTTCTGTGCTTTATGTCTAGCCTGTGCCTGGGGGAAGGTGAACAGATCTTGTTATAGCAAAGCACTCTTGTACGGAGGGAGGGAGGGAGGACACATGCAGTTCTGGGTGGGAAATAGACAAACAGTGCTGCTGGGTCCTCCCGATGTTAGATTTCATCAGTGACTGAGCTTCATACAAGTAACCAACTGGTTTATACCCATCACATTACAGACTACACCTTCCTCAGGACAAAGTGCTCTCCGCTCTCACACAGCAGCCCATGTTCAATAGCAACAGTTAATAACAGCAGAGACAGACGCTCGTTCACCGAGCTTGTCCTGTAATCTTGCGCATTGTCCCAATATCGTCCCATCTAGTAAGCAGTGATTATGAGATCTATCGGGGCCAAGGCTACACACAGCCTGAGCTAGAGCTCAACAGCAACCATAAGCATAAAGCAAGAGGGGTCTGAGTCCTCAGTAAATGGGAGTGGCACCACGGTGTGTGACAGGAGCAGCAGCCACAGAACACACACACACACACACACACAGACGCAGAGACAGACATACATACACACACATACACACAGACACAGAGACACACATGGGCAGGAATAAAAACAAGGCAGTGGCTTCAACTCAGCTCCGGTGAATATCTGAACCTTCAACATGAAGGACAGAAGATCCTGATCTTGAACCAGGCTGTTCTGGACAGTCGACCAAAGGGAATGAGATTAAAAGATAAAGTGTAAGAACGTGCTTGATGGGCTGAATGGCCTCCACCTGTTCCCAAGCCAAAGTTGGAAGATCTGAAAGCTGCCTCTGTATGAAATGTTCCGACGTGTTCCTGGCTGTGGTGCGCTCAGCTCCTGCCAAACCAGGCAAAGGAAGAGGGGTATTGTGTGGGTCTGTCACCAGGGCCCAGGTGTAGAATGCCTCAGCCCCTACAGAGCCTGATACGAAGGAGAAAACTACAGGTGAAAGAAAACACGACTCACGGTTTTGGCAGGTTGTCAAAAACATTGTAAAACATGTCGCCATTCGAGCAATCCGTGGGGTTCCCGCTGGCCACCGAGGTCAGTGCCCCCCTGGGCAGGGCAGAGGCTCGCTGGCCGGTGGCCCCCACATCAGCGCCCGTTCCCTCCTCCGCCCGCTGGTGGCTGCTGCCACGTGTCGTCTCCCCAACACCCGCCTGCCCTCGAGGCTTCAGGGCCTGTGATTACAAACAGACAGGGACTCAGCACCGGAGAGACAGAATGAGATAAACAGAGCACTGGACAGACAGGGAATAACTAGCGGTAACCCATCGCCATGGGATGAGGACTTACAGATTTGTTCTGTAACCCAGGAGGCATGTGCTCAGAATTGGGCTCACTGAAGTTCGGCACTTCTGAATACTGCATACAGAACCTGAAAGGAAGCAGACAGACCTGAGCAAAAACTGCTGACCCCAGCCACTGTACAATCTAATACAAGCCAACAATAAAAAGGTGAATGAATGTAATAATAATCCTTGCGTTTGATACAGCGCCTTATCACATCTTCTCGACGTCTCAAAGCGCTTCACAGAATTTACTGTAAAGTGAATTGACTGCATGTATTGTGGGCAAAACGTGGCAGCCAATTGCGCACAGCAGCATCCCCACAAACAGTCGTTGATTGAGTGACCAAATTATTTTTTTTTAAAAGGAATTAATGTAACAGACATCAAACATGAACAAAAGAAAAAAGAACATTTAAAGTGCATCACAACTTAGTCAGAATTAAGTCATAAACAGCAGCTATTTGAACCATCAGGTTCCCACAGGAAAAGGAACTTACTCTCCTACTTTCTGGAGTTCGCCTCCTCTCCCTGTGTAGAGGGTCAGACATCCTTTCCAGATCGAGGCGTATCTGGAGGCAGAAGAGGTTTTTGTTCGTCACACTTGCATTTGTCAAGTTTTATTCTGGATCTCAGTCAGACAGTGTGTGCATTCATGTGTGGAGGGAGGGGGGAGACAGAGTGAAATGACCAGAGAATTACATCAATTATTACAGCATAGCAACATTCAGCCCAACTAGTCTGTGCTGCAAGCAACTTGACCAGACTGAGTGAGACTCAACCACCTGTGCACAACCGGCTCCATGGTGACATGCCTAGCAACTGAATGTTGGAATCCAGCCAGCCCTCTGTCAGGTTTCGGTAGTCCGGTTCCTGAGCCAGGCAGGTCCGCAGGATTCCAGGGCAATGTTGATGACAGCACAGCCAGCCTGGCTCATCGGCAGGACCTAAAACCCAGCAGACCTGTTACTGGAGGCAGGGAGTCATCCCACTCAGCTCCTGTTAACCCTGCAAGCCAAAGCCCTTAACGGGTAGGATGGTCCTGGCTGGACAAGCAGTGGGAAAGCTTGCCAGACAGCAATATCAATGGCAAGCTATGTGGATTTAGCTGGTTTGGTTCCAGCACTTACCGCAACACACCCTGGGCTCCCCAAGCCTTGGCTCTTGCCAACCTGTGCCTAATATTTTCTGGAATTCTGGAATGCGTCCCTCCAGGGAGAGAGAGCGCATCCCATTCCAACAATCTATCTCTGGGATTTCCATGCATAGGTGGGATGCATGGAATTCTCAGTTTGGTTTGGATGCTCTTAAGCAACAGTGAAGGGTTTCCATATGTCAGACACCCGGCTGACCACAAAATAACCACCACCACCTCTGAGTTTTACCTCTGAAGAGGTTGAAATTTGGTCGTAGTCTCCATTGCAATGATCAATTGCTTTGATGATACCATGAGGACACAGATCACAAGGATATCCAGACAAGCCTTGTTCTGGCTGTACTCCAGTCTAAATATAGCGACTCACCCTCTAGTCAATCGGATGATATCCCCTGGTTGAATCAAGCTCCCCACATCGTCCCAGACAGATATGTTGATGCAGCCAGTCTTATCAGCCACTTTGCATGTCCTGACTTCGTGTTCATCTTTCGTTTTGGTAACTCGCCCTGGAGCGCAGCAAACACCATGACAACATCCACCAGACATGCGGGTAACAGAAATTAAGATGTCAACTGAGAGATTATATACACTCCCAGCAACTAATCAAGGGTATCTGACACTCAAAATAAACACACAGCGCCTCCTTCTATTTGTGCATTAGTGAACAGAAAGATTTACTCTAAATATGGCCAATAACACTTAAACACAAATGTTATTCTTGCAAACCACCCATCACTTAGGACTCAATGTAAAAAGATACACTTAAATTCATTTTTAAACCATTTAAACATCAGCTGTTGAATAATTAGTCTTTCCTCACAATCCACAACAGGCTGCGTATGTAACCTAGGAATGGCCCAATAATCAGTCCAGCCAGTCACATCTTCAAATCCCATCTCTCCTCGCATTACTACCCCTTAATGGCTGGACTATGGGAACTCTCTCCTCGCCGGTCTTCCCGGCCCTCCCTCCACACTGCAGGTCATTCAGAACTCTGCAGCTCGTGTACTGTCCCGCACCAGACACCGCGCCCACATCACTCCCACCCTCGCCCTCGCCCTCGCCCTCACCCTCGTCCTCACCCTCACCCTCACCCTCGTCCTCACCCTCGCCCTCGCCCTCCTCCACTGCTCCCCATTCCCCAGAGGGTCGCATTCAAGATCCTCATCCTCACCTACAAGGCCATTCACGGCCTCGCTCCCTCCTACCTCTCCGACCTACTGTCCCCCTACGTACCTGCCCGTACCCTCCGTTCCTCTGGCTCCCGTCTGCTCCACATCCCCCGCCCCAACCGCCCGACCATCGGTGGCCTTCAGCCTCTCAGCCCCGAGGCTCTGGAACTCTATCCCCAGTGACTTCGCCACTTCCTCGCTTTCTTCCTTCAAGGCCGGTCTCAAGACCTTTCTCTTTGACCTTCAGCCTTCAGCTCCACTCTCGACTCTCTACCCCCTCCTCGCTCCCTCCCTTCCCTCCCCTCACCCTGACCATTCCCCCACTCCTCGCTCCCTCCCTCTCCTCCCCCTGACCATTTCCCCCCAATGCTCGGGTCCTGACCCAACTGTACAGCGCCTTGGGACGTCCTCCCGACGTGAAAGGCACTCTATAAATGGAATCTTGTTGTTGTTAATCATAACGATTCATCCCTCTTGAAACTGCCCACATTGACACTGTTCCACATGTCTACCCTCCCTGTAATGTAATGTAATGTAACTGAATTTCAATCTATCCTCTCACCTTGGAGTTTGAGATTAAGGAACTGTTCTTGTGCGTTGTTCATCAGGGCTCTGTCCTTGGTCCCCTCCTCTTCGTTATCTAAATGCTCCTTCTTGACATCATCCGCAGACATGGGGTCAACTTCCACATGTATACGGATGACACCCAAATGTATCCCTCTGCCTTCACCCTTGACTCGAGGACTACTGCTGTCCTGACAGAATGTCTGTCAGACATCAAGTCCTGGATGAGAGTTAATTTTCTTTGGCTGAATGTCAACGAGACCAAGGCTCTTTTGATTGACTCATGTCAGAACCTCCTCGCCTCAAGTGCGGACAGCACCACCATCCATGGCTGCTCACTCCACCTTGCTAAGCCAGTCTGGAACCTTGGGGTCTTGTTTGATCCTCAACTATCCTTTCTACCCCACATCTGTGCCATGACCCGCTATTTCTTCCCCCATCTCCATAACATCACCCGGCTCCGCCACTGTCCCACACCGCAGGCCGCCAAAACCCTCATACACGCATTCATAACATCAAGGCTTAACTAAGCAAACTCTTTGACTTGTCGGCCTCCCCAATTCCTCCCTTCACAGGCTGCAGATCATCCAGAACTCTGCAGCCCGTGTCCTCTCCTGCACCAGGCTCCGCAACCCTATCACCCCACTCTCGCCCGACTCCACTGGCTTCCCATCACAGAGGATACAGTTCAAGATCCTGGTCCTCACCTTTAAAGCCCTCCATGGCCTCACTCCCCCTTATCTCTGCGATCTCCTAAACCCCTACCATCCTGCCTGCTCCCTCCGCTCAGCGGGCTCCGTCCTGTTTCATATTCCCCACCTCACCCACCCCACCATTTGTGGGCAGGCCTTCTCCCACTTTTCACCCACCCTCAGGAACTCCATCCCGCAGTCCCTCGTCCTCTCCCCCTCCTTTGCCTCCTGCAAGACCCATCTCAAGACCCTCCTCTTCATCTGTGCTTTCAATCACCCTCCTTCCCCTCCTGCGCTCCACCCTCCCGAATCCCAACGCGCAGCTCGGGTCTGAAACACTGACTGTCAAGCATTTTGGGACGTGCTCCTGGCGTGAAAGGCGCTATACAAATGTAATTTTGTTGTTGTTCCTTTTTACAGGTTAATTAACAACTGATAGTAAAGCAACAGCTTGATATTGAGAAGTCGCTGGGAACCCTCAGCAGGTCAGGCAGCATCTATGGAGAAAGGAAAGTGAGTCAACGTTTCGGGTTCACGACCCTTCATCAAAACTGGGTCGTGGACCCGAAACGTTGACTCACGTTCTCTCTCCATAGATGCTGCCTGACCTGCTGAGTGTGTGCTCAGTGATTTCCAGCATCTGCAGTATTTTACGTTTAGCCGACACTGGGGATGGTCCAACCTTTTGGCTACTGAGGGCCTGATGCCCTAATTGAAAAATGTCCGCGGGCCACATAAGCAATACTTTTGTGTTTCCCTTCCAGAAACATAACATTTTACGGGTTATGGGAGGAGCGGGTGGACCAAATGAAATGGTGAGATGGGAGGGACGCGGCCCGCGGGCCGCCGGTTGGACCACGCTGCAGTGATGGGTAAAACAATAAATACAACATTATACGGCGCCCCTCACGCAGGGAAGCGGCTCTCAGAGCGTTTAATTCCTTAACAACAAGGTGTGCCTCTGACAGGCGCCTTATCAGGTCAGAGGGCGACTGAAAGCGCTTCTGTTTGTTATAGTGACTGTGGCGGCCCGCGGGCCGGGCCCAGGCCTCAGCCCGACTGAGCGCCACCTCGAGGGCGGGCGGGGCGGCGGGGAGGGCCGGGCGGGCAGAGCCGATCCGCGGGGCCTACACTTACCGATCTCCAGGACGATGAAGAGGAGGTTAAGGTTTTTCAGTCCCGCTTTAATGTCCTTCAGGAACGTGTCGGTCGCCATCGCTCGGCCCCGCGCCTCCCGCTCCCCTCCGGCCCGCCCGCCCGCCTGACTGACAGCCATCCCCGCCAATCACAGCCGCTCCCTCCGGCCCGCCCGCCCGCCTGACTGACAGCCATCCCCGCCAATCACAGCCGCTCCCCTCCGGCCCGCCCGCCCGCCTGACTGACAGCCATCCCCGCCAATCACAGCCGCTCTCCTCCGGCCCGCCCGCCTGACTGACAGCCATCCCCGCCAATCACAGCCGCTCCCCTCCGGCCCGCCCGCCCGCCTGACTGACAGCCATCCCCGCCAATCACAGCCGCTCCCCGGTCCTGCGCTTGCTGATTGGCCTTCCGCAGCCCGGAGGCGGGGCAGGGTGAAAGCCTGGGCCTTATGGGAGGTGACGTCACCCCCACCTGTGTTCACCTGCAATAATTTATTTAATTCGTATAATAATATATGATAATAATAATCCTTGCATATAGCGCTTTATCAGATCTTTGAGGCATCTCAAAGCAATTCACGGAATATAAGACGAAGTGTAGTGATTGTCTATCTTCTGGACAAAATGCGGCAGCCAATTGCGCACAGCAGCGTCCCCACAAACAGCCGTGGGTTGAGTGACTAATTATTATTATTTAATATAGCACTTTGTACTTTACATGGAATTCACCCACAGTCACTACACTATTACAGAATACCCTGTGGACCGTCTCATGCGATGTTCCTCAGGGCTCTGTCCTTCACCCCTCCTCTTCAACATCTATATGCTCCCTCTTGGTGATGTCATCCGCAGACATGGGGTCAACTTCCAAGTTGTTGTTGTTCTCCTGACGTGAAAGGTGCTTTACAAATGTAATTTTGTTGCTGTTGAAAAGCTTTGAGGCATCCTCCTGTTGCAAAAGGTGCTGGGTCATGTATTTGATCACCATCTCATCAATTCACCAAATAATTGAGGACAGGATAGTTTTGACTGATCCATATCAATAAGTGCTCTTCCCACCACCCAAAGCTGCCTTATTGGGTTATTACAGCAACATAATAATACGCCTAATAATAATCCCTCCAAAACCAAAAACAATAATAAATTGGTCATTTTCAATCTACGACTGTTTGTGGGACATTGCTGTGCGCAATTGGCTGCCGCGTTCGCCCACAAATATACAGTCAATTCACTTTACAGTATATTCTGTGAAGCGCTTTGGGACGTCCTCCCGACGTGAAAAGCGCTATATCAAATGCAAGGATTATAACATATGGCAGCACCCCACCACTCTATGCTTAGTACAATTAAACCTTATTAGTACAATTGAACCTTACATTGTTTCTTATTGATCCCAATGGGTTTGTTTCCCTTTTTGCACGCAGAGACGTATAAGAGTCCTTTAGCTCAGCGGTAGAGCAGTCGCCTTCGAAGCGAGAGGATCCGGGTTCAATGTCCGGGCAGGGCAAAAGGTTTCCTTACTCCACACGCCTCTGTTCACCTAGCAGTAAGTAGGAACCCAGTTGTTAGTCGATTGACGGATCACTTTTCTGGGGGTAATAATCACTTACATTTTTTTAAAAAAATTTGGTCACTCAATCCACGATCATTTGTGGGACACTGCTGTGCACAATTTGCTGCCATGCTTCGTCCACAAAATACAGAGTCAATTCACTTTACAGTATAAAAGTGGATTTATATTTACAGTATACATGTTGTGAAGCGTGTTGAGAAGTCTTGACGATGTGATAAAGTGCAATATCAAATACAAGAATTATTATTATTTATCATGATATTATTATAACTCAACCCCTTCAACAGGTTCCTGTCAGGGAACTGGAGTAATTGAATCACCTCTAGGGGGAATAATTGCTCCTGATCCTGTTTCCATTGTTATTGTCGATTAGCAAAACAATTTTCTATTCAATTTCTAAGAAGTGTAACAAAAGAAAAATGACTTGATGCCAAATTTCATAATGTAACCCAAGAAATAATCAAGATTGCATCCTTGCCTCTCCGTCAGAAGTAGTGGATTAAAGCCCCACATCAGACTCTTGAATAGTCAAGGCTGAAACTCCAGTGCAAGATTCCTTTCTTTGGATGGGACATTAAGATGTCTCACCTCTCACCAGAATCGCAATACACACAGACAGGGAAATGAGCCATTAACTTTAATGTAATTGTAATAAAATAATAAAATTGGAATTGAGGTACAAATCAGCCATGAATGACGTAACAGGCTTGAGGGACTGAATGGCCTATTCCTGTTCCTATCTGAAAGGTAATAATAATAATTCTTGTATTTCATATAGCGCCTTATCATGTCTTCGAAACGTCTCAAAATATACTGTAAAAGTGAGTTGACTGTATATTTTAGGGGCAAAACTCAAGCCAATTGCGCACAGCAGCGTCCCACAAACAGTTGTGGGCAGAAGTAACCAAATTATTATTACTAATATTATTTTTAAGGGATTATTTTAAGGGAAAGGTGCTGCAGAGATGCATTTAGTTGAAAGTGGTACGATAAAAAATAACCCTTGCATTTGATACAGCCGCGCCTTATCAAGTTATCACTGGATTTACTGCGAGCAGTAGGTACGTGATTGCGTATCTCTAGGCGGTTGAGGAGAGTGTAAACATTGACCCAAGAGGTCTTCTGCTAGACCAGAGTCTACGCTGTGCACATATGGCTGCCGCGTTTCGCCCACAATATATACAGTCAATTCGCTTTACAGTGTATCCTGTGAAGCGCTTTGAGACGTCTCGGAGACGTGATGAAGCGCTGTGTCAGATGCACAGATTGTTATGGTGTTGGAGGGAGCAGAGAGTGGCTGTGATTGACAGCTGACAGTATGATGTAATCCTCCAGCTCCTGGACAGTCACCTCCCACGCCTCAGGAGTGGCTGGATTACATGTCAATCAAAGTACATTCCCCGCCCCCTAGTCCCACCTCCGGTTGCCACGGAGACCTTCGATGTCTTCAGAATTCAGGGCGGAGCCCCCGTGAGGCACACACACAATACGATTGGTCCACCAGAATATCAGTCACCCACCAGAGCAGGCTTTCAATTGGTGCAGCGGATGTCAGTCACGCCTCCGCCAGACTATCCCAATTATGATTGGTTGATTCCTGTGTCAATCCTCTTTATGGGCGGGGTCTATGCCGTCCTTGCCGGTGATTAGCCTTCGGTCTTTTCAACGGAATGTGGGCGGGATCGCGACGGGAAGTACGACAATGCTATTGGTACTAGTGGGTTGTCAATCACTTCCAGGGCTAGTTTGGAGATTCTTGATTGGTTAAAATTCTAGTCAATCATCGTAGGATACGCGCCGTTTCCGTTTCCGCTCGGTTAGGGGGCGGAATTCAGTGTTTTTTTCCTCCCTTTTGCACTGTGAGGAGCCGCGGCCTGTGGGGCCGTCGCCGAACCCGGTAAGTGTGTCCGTGTGACAGGCGCTGCTCTCGGGTGTCACCTGAGGCCAGGCGGGCGCTGTCTCCCCATCTACCCCCGAGACCATCAGGAAAGACCGAGGTCTGTGGTTGGGCCTGGTTTACAATGGCTCATAGCTTGTGCTGTGGGTGAGAGATGGGAGTGGGCCTGGGGCCGGGGGCCGAGGCCGGGGTCTGGGGGCCGGGGTCTGGGGTCGGGGGCTGTGGCCTGGGGCCGGGGCATGGGGTCGGGGGCTGTGGCCTGGGGCCTGGGGCTGGGGTCGGGGTCGGGGGCTGTGGCCTGGGGGGCCGGGGGGCGGGGGGCCCTGGGGGCTGGGGCCTGGGGGCTGGGGGCTGGGGCGGGGGCCCGGGGGGCTGGGGCCGGGGGGGCTGGGGCCGGGGGCTGGGGCTGGGGCGGGGGGCCGGGGGCTGGGGCCGGGGGGCTGGGGGGCTGGGGCCGGGGGCTGTGGCCTGGGGCCTGTGGCCTGGGGCCGGGGGTCGGGACCGGGGGTCGGGGGGGCCGGGGGGCTGGGGCCTGGGGGCCGGGGGGCGGGGGGCTGGGGCGGGGGGGCTGGGGCGGGGGGCTGGGGGCTGGGGCCGGGGGGCCTGGGGGCTATCAGAGCATTTCACCCACAGGATGTGCTTCTGAGAGGATTCTCAAAGCGCTGATGAGATTCACTGTAAAGTGTAATGGGGATCACTGAGATGTGGGATGATTTGTTTCACTCACAAAACACACAGTCACTACACTTTACAGTTTATTCCTTGAAGAGTTTTGAGATGTCTCGATGATGTGATGAGGCTCTGCATCAAATGCAAGGTTCGTTCTTATTAAGATTTGAGGCTGTTGGATCGGTGAAGGTTTGCAAGTGAGAGACCTGAGTTCAATTCCAGGCAGAGGGCGAAACCTTGGGCAAGTTTCCTTACTCCACACAGAGCCTAATAATAATCCTCCAAAAACAATAACAATAATAAATTGGTCATTTTCAATCTACGACTGTTTGTGGGACATTGCTGTGCGCAATTGGCTGCCGCGTTCGCCCACAAATATACAGTCAATTCACTTTACAGTGTGTTCTGTGAAGCGCTTTGGGACGTCCTCCCGACGTGAAAAGCGCTATATCAAATGCAACGATTATTATTATTATGTGTAAATGGGGTTTTGAGGGGAGGAGAGGAGCAAAGTTTGAGGAGAGAATCTGAGGGATGGAACATGAAAGCAACAAGCAATAGATCAGAGTAGTCAATGGTGTGACCGGCTGGGGTTGGGGGGAAACGATGGCTATTAGTTATGTACATTCATATAATAATCCTTGTATTTGATATTGCGCCTTATCATCTTATTGAAATATCTCACAGCGCTTCACAAACTGGTATTTTGTGGGTGAAATTAATACAGCATCGTGTGTTTGAAAAAAAAGCTTTGTAGAATGAGATCCCTGGGATGGGGCTTTAGCCAGGGTTGTGGTCACCGGGGATTACAAGGGGCTTTCTCCTCTCTGAGGCAGGAATTGGTTGAAATATTACTTAAATTTTGGTGAGGATCTCGTTGTCCTGGAAACAATGACATTTTCTCTGATGCCATAAACGCTACATGTTTGTGGTATCAATAAACTGTGCCCAGTGCTGCTGCACTGGGGCTGATTGGGTTGCTGCTTAAATTGTATGAAACAGCTCAATCAGTGCCTTGGGTTTCAGTCCTAAGGAAGTTGTACATTGTTAAATCTCTGCTCTGTTGAGTTTCAGATGTATTTTTTCCACTCTCGCTTTCTGTAAATGTATGAATCGCATGGACTGAAAAATCAATTAGTTCAATACTGTGGGAAGAAAACTTTGCTTGAACTGTGTTTCTCTGTAAAGATCAAGGGTTGTGAATATTTAATATCTTGGGGATTGTGTTGTGCCTCCAGTGGTCCTGATGCTGTGGTGGTTCATTGTAATTCCTTTGTTAGTGCAGAAACTCCTACACAATATGCTCGCTGCCACACGCCCGAGCTGTCTCACTGTCCCTCCAATCTCTGGAACACTCCAAATTCCTTTTGCTCTGTCTGGTCTTTCTATCCCAGCTTGTAAAACCTCCTTATATGCCAAGCCTTTGGTCAACACCCATGGAACTCCCTCCTTCCCCTCTCCCCGGCTCGGAGATCTCCAGCGTCCCAGCGTTTTGAGATGCTGCCCTACACGAAAGATGCTTTGTGAGTGCAAGTTGTCAATGTTGCTCCATTTTTGTTTCAATCTAAATATTCTTTGCAACGATGACTTCTTTGCAGAGAATAGGTTGTACTAAATTGTCTGTTTCTGCTTAATTCAGTTAGCAGCTTGGCCCAGTTAGCAAATGGGTTGTGAGTGAGTGCAGAGACTTGTCACACTGTGCCTGTATGCGGTCAGTTTGAGATGAGGGGAAAGTGTGCTATTCCATGTAACTGGATTCCACTGTCATCTGGAAATCAAACGTAGCTCAGCTTTCAGGCTGAGTGACCTGTGTTGCTGTGGAAATCAACAACCTGGGTTTATATAGCGCTTCTGCCTCTCCATGAGATGAACATCTGTGTAAGTGTTTCACAGGGACTCTGGGGTGGAGGGGAATTTAAGGTTGCTGATCAATGATTGTCAGACAGAGATGTTTTGATGTCGGGGGAGAGTAGTAACAAGGTGAAGAGATTTTGGGGATAATTCCAGAGGGAGCTCTTGCTTGCATTCCTCTGGATTTCCAGTGTTGCCATCATTCCTCCAACTTCGCTGCAACACTGTGTTGTTGTGTGTTTGTGGTCTCAGTCCTTGTGTTCTGAGCAAGTCGGAATTATTAAATCAATGTTCAATCTGTCTTCTGCTAGACAGCAAAATGCTCTTATTATCCGACCCCCCGCCCCATCCCCACATGTGATTTTGAAGTACTTCTGTTCCTTTTATGAGAATTATTTAATGCACAGACTAGAATATCACCAGTGGCTTTATTTGTTTTGCCACTAAACAAAGTGGTAGATATGCAAAACAGTTTCTAAATTTGTATCATATACAAATTATAATTTTCACTGTGCAGATGTCAGTTAGATAAATTTTTTCCCATTTATTCTGGTTCATATTCACTTCTGATCCAAATTCACTGAATTGAAGAGAATCTCATCTTTTTCCAACAGCCCAAGATATTTAACATCCACCTGAAAAGACACAGATGAGGTTTAACGTTTCATCCTAAGGACGTCGCCTTTCGACAATACGCCGCTCTCCTGCCCCCACATTACTGCTCTGGAGCGTGAGCCTGGACGGTGAACTCCAAGTCCCATTGGGTAACTTGAATCTACAACCTTCTGATAGAGAAAAAATGGCACCGAGGACCAGTTTTGTTGTGTTTGGGAGGTGTAATAAAATTAATAAATATTAATCCTGGCTTTTAGTACAGTGCCTAAGAAGCCTGTATGGTAGTGGTTAGAGCACTCACCTCGCAAGCGAGAGGACTTGGGTTTGATTCCTGGGAAGGGTAAAACATTAGACAAGTTTACTTACTCCAGACAAAATGCCACAGTTTACCTAGCAGTAAGCAGAAACCCAGTTGTTAGTTGCTTTTCCCGGGGAAATAATCCCTTCAAATTAAAAAAAAGATAATAATTTGGTCGCTCAATCCACGACTATTTGTGGGACACTGCTGTGGCAATTGGTTGCCATGTTTCACCCACAAAATCCACTATACAGTATATTCTGTGAAGCACTTTGAAATGTCTGAAAGACGTGATAAGGACATACATCAAGTGTAAATCAAATGCAAGGATTATTATTATTGTATGTCAGAAGGACATCCCAAAGCGTGTCACAGGAGTTATTGTAAAGTTGAAGCCGGTGGTGTTTAGTACGGCCTTTGTTAACTCATTTACAGAAGGACATTTATAACAACAACAGCAAGATTCCATTTATAAAGCGCCTTTCACGTCAGGAGGACGTCCCAAGGCGCTGCACAGTTGGGTAATGACCCGAGCATTGGGGGGAAATGGTCAGGGTGAGGGGAGGGAAGGGAGGGAGCGAGGAGGGGGTAGAGAGTCGAGAGGGGAGCTGAAGGCACGGTCAAAGAGAAAGGTTTTGAGACCGGCCTTGAAGGAGGAGAGGGAGGAAGCGGCGAAGGCACTGGGGGATGGAGTTCCAGAGCCTGGGGGCTGAGAGGCTGAAGGCCCGACCACCGATGGTAGGGCGGTTGGGGCGGGGGACGTGGAGCAGACCGGAGCCAGAGGAACGGAGGGTAGGGGGAGGTAGGTAGGGGGATAGTAGGTTGGAGAGGTAGGAGGGAGCAAGGCCGTGAATGGCCTTGTAGGTGAGGATGAGGATCTTGAAATCAATCCTCTGGGGGATGGGGAGCCAGTGGAGGCGAGCGAGGGTGGGAGTGATGTGGTCGCGAAGCCTGGTGCGGGACAGTACACGAGCTGCAGAGTTCTGAATGACCTGCAGCTTGTGGAGGGAGGTGGCGGGAAGGCCGGCGAGGAGAGAAACCAACCTATAAAATCAACGCAGCACATTACAAAGAGAGCTCCTCATTTTCACCCACCCATAAAGTTGGCCACAGCAAAAAAGTGTGTTTTTTAAAGAGAGGAATTCCTGTCAAGTGTAGTGACTGTTTGTGTAGGTTGTTGCACTAACATGTCATTGATGTTTTTGTGTGGCAGGAAGGAAGGCCTTGGCTGTCGCAGTATGAGCCATGGGCTACGACGTCAATCGGTTTCAGGGCGAGGTGGACGAGGACCTGATCTGCCCTATTTGTAGCGGAGTTCTGGAGGAACCTGTGCAGGTAAGAGGAACACACAAGGAAGGCCACAGAGAATGCTGGTGGGAATCTTATTCAGCGCAGCAGCCTATCCAGCTTGCTCTACCCGTTCAGTACATCACGTTAGATCTATTAAACTCATTTTGATCCTATTTCCCTGCCTATTCTCCACACGCCTTTAATATTCCTACCTCCCCAGCATCTATCATCCTTTTAAACATCCCTCTGATTTGGCCTCTGGAGTGATGTGTCACAGTCCCTGCGGTGTGAGTGCAAGGCAATTGTTCATGAAACAACAGACTTGCACAACAAAAGTGAATGATGATGTGAAGTCCTGTAGCTCAGTGCGCACTTGTGTCACAAACGAGGGGGACCTGGGTTTGATTCCCAGACAGGGTGATACATTAGGCAAGTTTCCTTATTCCACACGCCTCGGTTTACCTAGCAGTAATTAGGAACCCGATTCTTAGTCCATTGGCAGATCACTTTTCCGGGGATAATAATTCCTTCAAAACCATAAATATATTTAGAAAAATAATAATAATTTGGTCACTCAATCCACAACTGTTTGTGGAACACTGCTGAGCACAATTGGCTGCCATGGTTTGTCCACTATACAGTCACTACACTTTGCAGTATAATTTGTGAAACGCTTTGAAACGTCACGAAGATGTGATAAGGCGCTGTATCAAATGCAAGGATTATTATTATCCAGTCTTGTACTCTGTGTTTTCTGAGCAAACGGACAAAAGTTACGGTGCTGTGGGGGTTGGGGTATAGGCAGATTATTATAGGGCAGAAAAGGCACGATATGAGATTAAAAGCTTTGCAAAAAAATGATCTGCTCTGATCTAATAAGCCGGTTAATGGGCTGAATGGCCTCTTTCTATCCTCTCGCACCCTTCCTCACCCACTACCCATCCCTGCGTTGTGTTTCCCTCTCCACTGCAGAGTTCTGTGTGTCCATGTAATCCAAAGATTGAGATTGAGAGGTGAGCACCAGTGCAGATCGCACTATGTGAGATTGTTGCAGTTGCATAATATTGACCTCTGCAGAGCCTCCTCTCTCTCCTGCACCAGAAACTGATCTGTATTCGGTGGGGGGTGGGGGGGGAGTGTGAGTGGAGAGGGTGCAAGGTTTGTAAACAATGTGTTTAAATCAAACAAATGATTCACTGCTGCAATTAAACAAATCGCCATTGATCAGAGCCGAGTTAAACCCGGACACTGAACCTCCTGTGCCGCAGAAATGCCTTTCAAAAATAGCCCCAGAGATGGGGCTTCTGAAAGGTTTAACAGGTGTCTGTCTCTGTCCAGCACTTAATTAACCCGCTCTCTCCCCCCCACCCCCACCGCTCTCCCCCCCCCCCCCCGCTCTCCCCCCCGCTCTCCCCGCCCCCCCCCCCCGCTCTCCCCGCCCCCACCGCTCTCCCCCCCGCTCTCCCCGCCCCCCCGCTCTCCCGCCCTCCCCTTCCCGCTCTCCCCGCCCCCCTCCCGCTCTCCCCTCCCCCCGCTCTCCCCGCCCCCCACCCGCGCTCCCCCCCCCCCACCGCTCTCCCCGCCCCCACCGCTCTCCCCCGCCCCCCCCCGCTCTCCTCTCCCCCCGCTCTCCCCGCCCCCCTCCCGCTCTCCCCACCACCCCCCAACCGCTCTCCCCCCCCACCCACTCTCCCCGCCCCCCCTCCTGCTCTCCTCTCCCCCCCGCTCTCCCCGCCCCCCTCCTGCTCTCCCCGCCCCCCCCCCGCTCTCCTCTCCCCCCGCACTCCCCGCCCCCGCTCTCCCCGCCCCCCCCTCCCTGCTCTCTCTCTCTCAATGCGTTAGCTGTGCAGCTTTAAGAGTTTTATGGGCTAGTGCTGAGCTGAAGGGTGTTTTGATACTGATTACATCACCAGCACTGGCCGCCTGACAGTGCCGCAGTCTTCCTGCCTTAACCTTCCGGTTACATTGAACAAGTTGCACCGAGTGAGCGCGAGGCCGACTCCTTCCCCTGAGCAGAGCGTGTGTCGTGAGGAGGGGCTGTGGCCCTCACTCTCACAGCCACTGTTGTCTGCAGCCAAACAAACACAGCTCCAGCTGAGGGTTTACAAGAAAATCTGCTTTGGATTTAAATTGATCAAATCTTCTGATTTCAGCATTTGGGGGGCTGGGGGAGGGCCGTGACGGGGGGTGTTTGTTTGTTGCTATTTCTATGTCTCGCTCTGGTGTGTTCATCGCTCTGTCTCTCTGTTTTTCTCTCTCTCTATCTGTGGACATGTCTTTGTTTTTCTCTCTTTCCCACTAATCTATATATGTGAGTGTGTGTGTCTCTCCCTCTCTCTTTGTTCCTTGTCTTTCTGTCGCAAGTGTGTGTCTCTCTCTGTCTATCTTGGTGTGTGTGGGTGAACGTCTCCCCCTCTGTATGTCTTGGTGTCTGTGAGTGTGTGTGTGTCTCTCTCTCTCCCCCCCTCTGTCTGTCTGTCTGTGTGTGTGTGTGTGTGTGTGTGTGTGTCTCTGGCTGATACCAGCTGTGTTATTCCCTCACAGGCTCCGCACTGTGAACATGCTTTCTGCAACGCCTGCATCACGCAGTGGTTCTCTCAGCAGCAGACGTGTCCTGTGGACCGTAGTGTAGTGACTCTTGCCCACCTGCGGCCCGTGCCCCGTATCATGCGAAACATGTTGTCCAAGCTGCAGATCACCTGCGACAACGCCAGCTTCGGCTGCACCGCGGTGGTGCGGCTGGACCAGCTCGTGTCTCACCTGAACGACTGCGAACACAACCCCAAGCGGCCGGTCACGTGTGAGCAGGGCTGTGGGTGAGTGTGCGCTGAGGGCAGCCAGTCACTAGCTAACCAGCAGCATCCGGGCAACACCTATGTCGCTCTCAAAGCGCTTCACAAGCAATTGCTGTCAAATGGAGTGACTGTCAGTGTGGACGAACATGACAGTGAGGTCCCAAAACAGCCAAAGGTAAATGATGCTGAGGATTGTCAGCCAGGACACCAGGGGGAGGAATTCTCCCCATCTCCCTTCAAAATAGTCGCACAATCCATTTGTAACGTTCACTTGTAACGTTATCCCAGCTTAACATCACTGACGACGTGAACATGTACAGTGTCTATTGTGGGATGTGACGTGTCAAACGACTGCTACAATAGTGGGAGGGGAACTGGATGGACTTTTACGAAGCAAATGCTTATGTTGTTACAGTGTGGGGTTTATGATAGCGTGGGTACTTATTCTCGCTCTGATTTTTAGACTGGAAATGCCCAAAGACGAGTTACCGAATCACAACTGCATCAAACACCTGCGAACAATGGTACTCCAGCAACAGGGCAAGATCGCGGAGCTGGAGAAGACCACAGCCGAACACAAGCACCAGCTGTCTGAGCAGGTTAGTGACCCACACACTGGCCATCCCCAAACACCAGCTGCCACAGCACATTCCCAAACACTGTGCCACAGCACAGTCCCTAACACTGTGCCACAGCACAGCCCCTAACACTGTGCCACAGCACAGCCCCTAACACTGTGCCACAGCACAGTCCCTAACACTGTGCCACAGCACAGCCCCTAACACTGTGCCACAGCACAGTCCCTAACACTGTGCCACAGCACAGCCCCTAACACTGTGCCACAGCACAGCCCCTAACACTGTGCCACAGCACAGCCCCTAACACTGTGCCACAGCACAGCCCCTAACACTGTGCCACAGCACAGCCCCTAACACTGTGCCACAGCACAGCCCCTAACACTGTGCCACAGCACAGCCCCTAACACTGTGCCACAGCACAGCCCCTAACACTGTGCCACAGCACAGCCCCTAACACTGTGCCACAGCACAGTCCCTAACACTGTGCCACAGCACAGCCCCTAACACTGTGCCACAGCACAGCCCCTAACACTGTGCCACAGCACAGCCCCTAACACTGTGCCACAGCACAGCCCCTAACACTGTGCCACAGCACAGTCCCTAACACTGTGCCACAGCACAGTCCCTAACACTGTGCCACAGCACAGTCCCTAACACTGTGCCACAGCACAGTCCCTAACACTGTGCCACAGCACAGCCCCTAACACTGTGCCACAGCACAGTCCCTAACACTGTGCCACAGCACAGCCCCTAACACTGTGCCACAGCACAGCCCCTAACACTGTGCCACAGCACAGCCCCTAACACTGTGCCACAGCACAGCCCCTAACACGGTACCGCTGGACATCCCTTACCGCTGAGCCACAGCACAGCCCCTAACACTGTCTCAGCCCAGACTGAGCTAGTCAGCCCAGCAGCCTGTTGTTCCGCCAGTTTAATGGATCTGGATGACTGGTCCTTTCTCTCTCCCTCTCTCTATCTCTCTCTCTCTCCCTCGTTTATCTCTCTCTCGCTCTCTCTCATTCAGAAATCGCAGTTGATTATCTGCCGTTCTCAGTTCTCACTCACTCCTGGATCTCCAGCGAGAGAGAGAGTGAGAAAGTGAAAAAAGGAGAGATGTTTTCCAGAGGGGGGGAATGGATTTAACGAGGTTCTGTTTCCTCGACAGAAGCGAGACATTCAGCTGCTGAAAGCCTACATGCGTGCAATCCGCAGCGCCAACCCCAACCTGCAGAATCTGGAGGAGACCATCGAGTACAACGAGATCTTGGAGTGAGTTTAGTCAGTTTATCTTCCAGCTCCTTACACATCCAACTTCAGACAACCAGGCACCAACCATTATACACAAAGGAAAAGAACTGTAGAGGCTGCAAATCTGAAATACAAACAGAAGTCGCTGGGAACACGCAGCAGGTCAGGCAGCATCTATGGAGAGAGGAAAGTGAGTTAACGTTTCAGGTCGGAGACAAAAGGTCATCGACCTGAAACATTAACTCACTTTCCTCTCTCTATAGATGCTGCCTGATCTGCTGCGTGTTCCCAGTGACGTCTATTTTTATTACTGCAACGCTAAATACAACTGTAGGGAATTGGCTTCTGAGTTTAATAATTTATTGTTGATCATAATTGATTATTAAAGTAATGCAGTTGTTATTCGAGATAAATTACACGAATAAGCAAATTGTATAATTGATTGTTAGAATAATTTGATCATTTGATTGAACAATGATTCCAAATCTTCACCTGCTATTAAGACGAGGCTGAGATCAGGAGAAGTCGCGATCATCCTGGAGCCGAATGCATTCAGAATCATCACAATGATTATAATGAAGAATAATCCTGGCATTTAATGTAGTGCCTCGCATGTCGGGAAGAAACCTCAGAGCATCTTGCAGGATTTATTGTGTTTGCAGAATGATAATAATCCTTGCATTTGACATAGTTGCCTTATCACGTCTTCGAGATGTCTCAAAGTGCTTCACAGAATATACTGTAACGTGAACTGACTGTATATTTGTGGGCGAAACACGGCAGCCAATTGCACACAGCAGCGTCCCACAAACAGTCGAATTATTACCTGTAGAAAACTGTAACTTGCCAGAGCAGAAGGCTATTTCCTGGAGCGCTCCCTTGCATCTTCTTATTGATCTTGGCTATTTCTCGGGGGTTTATCCAACATTTATTGTGATGTAAACTGAGCTAATTATTTGCCTTTTAAATTGTCTCTTCCAGGTGGGTCAACTCTTTGCAGCCCGCCCGTGTGACCCGCTGGGGAGGGATGATTTCCACACCGGACGCGGTGCTCCAGGCCGTCATTAAACGCTCCCTGATCGACAGCGGCTGCCCCATGTCCATCGTCAACGACCTGATCGAGAACGCACACGAGAGGAACTGGCCGCAGGGTCTGGCCACGCTGGAGACGCGGCAAATGAACCGCAGATACTATGAGAACTATGTGGCCAAGCGGATCCCGGGGAAACAGGCTGTGGTGGTGATGGCGTGTGAGAATCAGCACATGGGAGATGACATGATCCTGGAGCCCGGGCTTGTCATGATCTTTGCTCACGGAGTAGAGGAAATCTTTTAAACAACACGGAGCGCGTGAACCAGTGGCAGAAACCTTCTGCGATCGAGTTTCTAACCTGGGAAGAGAGCAGACATGGACATTGCATCAGTGTGTGGTGCAGCGTGTGGGACACAGACTGAGCCCGCGCCTCACTGACTGTGTGTGACACAGCGACCCTGAGGCTGTGTGTGTGTGTGTGTGTGTGTGTGTGTGTGTGTGTGTGTGTTTGTGTCAGCGCCACCAGCTCTCAGGCCAGGAAACCACGTGCACATTTCTATTTATTCCTCCCAACGCAAGACTGAAGAGCAGAAAAATGGGATTTTATTTGCCGTTTCAGAACTCCACAGCCACACCTGGAGGCCAGCGACATGTCGTCACCTTGGCTGTGGTCTTGAGTTCTGTTTCTGTGTGTGTGTGTCTGTCTGTCTCTCTGTCTGTCTGTGTGTTTTGTCTTTTTTTATTTTAACCAGAAAACTGTAAAGACAATATTTATATTGTGATGGGTGCTGTGAGTTACACTGTGAGAACAGAGGTGGTGTTTCCTGTGAGATTTTTTGTTTCTGTTCCAACAGCAGACCTGACAGTCAAACCTCGGACTCCAACCCACTCCCCCCCACCTCGCCCTCCCCGCACACCCCTCCCCCCCCCACACATTGCAAATGTTGTGATATGGTCATTAGTGGCTTAATGTCCACTGGAGTACATGGGGATTGGCTGGGACTGGGCTGCGACAATGTCTATTGATTCAGGCAATGGTCTTAACTCTTTATGCAAAACGTGAGCTTGAGTGTGAGTGTATGTGAGTGTGAATGTGAGTGTGAGTGACACCATTTTAAGCTGCAGGTGCCTCACAGCCAATACCTGTGTCTTAAGACGGTGGCCAGATAATGAATGAGTAAAAGTTTTTTTTAAATGGAAAGAAAAACCCAAGTGTACAGTGCAGGGCATTAGGGATTTCTCTCCTGATTGTCGACAAGACTCGATGTCGATTGTTTAAGAAAATTCACTTTGACCTAAATCCTGAGCGTTTGGGATTTGCCTTAAAATGGAATTGGCGACTGAGAGTGGGGGCAGGGAGAGAGCCCCCGTCACGACACTCGTGGGAGGGAAATACAGAGAGAAGCATTCAGCAGAGATTTCAAATGGTTTTGGTGGTTTGTTTAATGTTCAGCACAAGCAACAAACCATTGGGCATCTTTGCTGAGATTTCTGCTGTTCTGGCCGCTTGTCAGACTCACTGGCCTCACCGTCCGCCTCACTCCGTCCGTCGTCCGTCCCCAGGCTCCATTGTATCACCATTTGCCAATCTCTCCCATTAACCCCCCACCCTCATCCGACACATCTCGCCCCCCCGGAGAGGGCGGAGTATCTACAGCAAGGGGACATGGTGGTCTCTAATGCCCCCCCCACCATTGTTACTGCTGCCTCACACCCCTCTCATTTGTATCTCACTGCTACACGAACTGGTGGACAGTGAGTGTTGGTGGGAGGGGTTTGTGTCTGTGAGCTGAGGGGGGGGTGACTTTGCTGTGCTGGTTCTCGCGCTGTGATCACTGACTGAGTTCTGGAGTTTCTCTGCTTTTTGTAGAGTTTCCTCTACAGTAAAATAGTAACAACACCTCCACCGTTTCCACTGCACACACTGACGCCATCTACCAGCAGTTACCGCAACGCACACTCTGGGGTCCCCAAGCCCTGGCTCTTGCCAACCTGCACCTAATACTCTCCGGAATTAGGTAAGGAGGACACATCCCTCCAGGGAGAGCGCATTCCGTTCCAACAATGTATCGCTGGGATTTCCACGTGTAGGTGGGATGTGGGGAAATCTCAGTGGTTTGGAGACTCTTAAGCAACAGTGATGGTTTCCACAGACATCCGGCTGAGCAAAATCAACCTTAACGTGATTATGAGCTGAATGGCTGCCTCCTCCGTCAGACCCCCGGCCGGTCACGGTGACGGGTTTCCGTGTGTGTCAGACCCCCGGCCGGTCACGGTGACGGGTTTCCGTGTGTGTCAGACCCCCGGCCGGTCACGGTGACGGGTTTCCGTGTGTGTCAGACCCCCGGCCG